TTTTTTGTTCGACTTGCTTGCTTTACGAACAAATAAAACATAGGCTTTTTAGTGAGCCGAATACATTTTCATAAATAATGAGCTTTTTTGATAGAGCTACCCTGGAGAATAAAGCATTGGTTGTTGGGTGATATGCAACCCGAATGTTGAATCAATGAATCCATAAAAGTTTTCACCACATGGTTTTGAACCATTACATTGAGCTTGAAGAGCTCATTTCTTACCTCCCGGCTGTTTATAACCATTAATATTATTGTTTTGATTTGCTTGTTGCACTTTATACAATCTCCTTTCCTTCTGTGATGGTTTCTTCTTGGCATCCATCATGGATGTCCCTTTTTTTATGCAGCTCAAAACTCACGCTTCTGAATGTTACCTAACTTGTAACAATTTTTCCTTTCTAAAAATTGTCTGTCAGGTTTATTTATCCAAAATCACTGCAACAAGAGAACTTTCTGCCTTTGTTCTTAGCTTTGTTCTTGTCTTCTATTGCTATGGATTTCAAGCTGGCCTCTACAATAGTATGCACTTGAAAAGATTTAGTTATCTTTGCAGACCTTCATGAAGTCCCACAATGAATCTCATGAGGATTAATTTTTCTTGGAATGAGATGCTGAGTGAGAAGACTTGTTCATTGACATTAGCATGTACTTTTATTGCAGCCTCAATTGCTACTAGATCCACTTCTTTTGTGGGCGATGTGATAAAATTGAGTTTTCTATAATCACTTTAACTAATGAGACAATTTTAGTTTAGTGATTATGTTTTACATGACAAAAGTCTGATGACTTTTTCAGAGAATGAAATTTTCTACGTAGGAGTTAATTATAGAAGGTAAAATAAGTTCTCAAGACTTCCGAGCAATTGTTTGCAACAATATTTCTCACATATTGTGAGATAAGTTCTTCTATGACCGGATGCAAATTTTTCTCAGTTAATCATATGATTTTATCCTTTCTTGGTTACGTCCATCGGGGCTCTCTTTCTTAGGAGTGCCCTTGGCACACTTAGGAGTTGCTTAGGAAAAGGTCCAATCCATGTCCTTAACTTTTATATAGTTTCCTGTTTATATTAGTTGGAGTTATGATTGTTATAATTGATAAGATTTATTTATTTATTTATTTTTTTGGTGCAAATGTCTTATGGAAATATTGAAAAACTAACATGCGATCTTAAGATTACTAATAAAGATCCATATATAAGTCTTTGAGGATGAAGCCTGTTAAAAAAAGTTGAAAACTTGCAAACCCCACATTTTTGATATGCCCATATTGATGGAAAACCTCTTTAAAGAAATCTATTCTAAATGATTTAAGTTTGACTTGTAATGAATTATAAACTTTAATATTTGATCAAATAGATAGTGTTTTGAATTTTAAAGTTTTTCCAAGCATTCATTATTAACAAATTGGTTAAAATATTGACGCATTATCACTCTCTGCCTGATTTTCTTTTTATGAATTTGCGACTCTAAGAATCACGAACTAAAAGTAAAAGTAATTTCACTTTAATTTATTGGGATAATCTTAGTTGAAACTTCACTGAAGGTTAAATATTCAAAGTTCTCAATTGCTTTATCAATTTTAAAAGACATTATTGGTTTAGGCTTCACCATGAGAAGACTCAATTTGCAGTAGGAGCTCAAGTTCATATTTAGTAATAATCTCAACTTTTATTTGTACTTTAGTTTCATAGCCTGCACTAAATTCAATTTCTGTACGAAGTTCAAGCTCACAATAAAAAAATAGATTTAAATTATAATTGTAATATTCATTTTCAATTTAAATTTAGCTTCTAGTCGAGGTTTAGATTCAAGATTGATCTCATATTTAAATTCAATTTTAAATTTAGATTTTTCATTTTGCTCAATTTTAGGTTTATGCTCACGGAAATGTGCTAATCTAAGTGCGTATTTATATTCAACAATATCAAAATGTATAAATTTTTAATTGTAAACTTTTTCAACATATAATTCATTTTTCTTCAGCTGGATCAACTTCAAATTGTCATTATTCTCGTGCTATCATGTTTGACAGACTTAAAAGTGGATGGTAATTTGGGGACATTAAACACATGAATGGTATGTTGAGCTATATGTAAAACCAGCTCTTAGATAGGTAATCAAGAACATCAAGTACCTACATTAGGAGAATTTAAGATATCTACAATGCTGCTGCGGAGCTAGCTCTAAAGATTTTATGTCCAATGTGTGGTTGTTCCATATTGAATTGGTTGGCCTTCTCTTGAGGATTTCTTTTTGTTCATAGGCATAGGGACTTGATGATTTTAGAAGTCAGAAGATTCCATTGAAGCCATTACCAAGTGGCTAATGTATTAAACCCAAAATTGGTTCCCTTTGGCCCAAACTCCTAAAAAGGAGCTCATAAGATCATGCCATGTGCTTGAAATGAAAATGTCATGAAAAATGTTGGTACACTTCAAAGGATAGAGTGAGAAATGAGTATAGTAATGATTTATGAAAGGATGAGTTACATGAAAAATAACTTGCCTGGAATTTAACTAGAAATAGTTCGATAAAATGAAATCTGTTATGAACTAAGTTTAATTGGATGAAAGGAAAATAACTCTTAAAAGTAGCCCAAGATGTGCTTTGATCATTTGTGAGCCCTCCATCCAAGAATTTAGATTCTATCTGCCTTGAACTTCTGATTGAACTAGAATTTTCTCTAGTGTATTTTTGTAGTTTCCTTCTAGTATAGTATTTAATTGTTTAATCATGTACAGTAGGTTATAATTTTATATTATAGAGAATAAAATTTTTTTTTTGTGGGGAAATGATGAGTAATAAATCATAAAAGATGTGGCTTGATTCTATGACCTTAGAGAAATAATCTTCTGCTTTAACAATTTGCAGGAGGTTATACCTTGGTGTATGCTTTTCCTTGATGATATTCCTCTTGTGGATAAGACTAGAGAAGGAGTTTAGGAAAAACTTGAGTTATGTAGGTCTACATTGGAGTCTGAAGTCCTTCATTTAAGTAGAACTAAAACTGAATATATGGAATATAATTTTAGTAGTAGCAGTAGTAGCTCTAGTGGCAAAGTTGTAACTATGACGATCAAATCATTAAAATGTGTGAACGCTTTAGATATCTCGAGTCTATTGTTCAAAGTGATGGTGATATAGGTTGAGTTGTTATTAGTAGAATTCAAGTTGGTTGGTTGAAGTGGAGGAATGCATCGGGTCTATTGTGTGATATAAAAGTATCGCTTAGACTAAAAGAAAAAAATTATGAGATGGCGGTGAGACCTGCAATAAATTATGGCTTAGAATGTTGGCCTTTAAAAGAGAAGCATAAAATCAAGTTAAGCGTTACCGAGATGAGAATGCTTATGTGGATGAGTGGCTTTACACTTAGAGAGAAAATGCGAAATGAATTCATTCGTGATAGGGTTGGTGTAGCTCCAGTGGCGGACAAAATCAGAGAGAGTCGTCTTAGATAGTTTTGTCACATTAAACGTCGTTCATCTGATGATCCGGTTAGGAGAGTAAATGTTTTAAATTCGACTTATGTTAAGAAAGGCAAAGGTAGACCTTTAAAGACTTGGGCATATTATATAAAAAATGATATTAATTTATTAGAATTAAATGAAAATATGACACTCAATAGGACACAATGGAGAAAAAGGATTCATGTAGCCGACCCCACTTAGTGGGATAAAGGCTTGTTGCTGTTGTTGTAACAATTTGGGCATGGGCCCTTTCACAATTATGAAGAATATGAGTGGTAAAAGATTCATTAATAGCTCGATGTGGTTGAAATGAGAATGTTGAGGTGTATTATAAGAGCTGAGTTTGAGAAATTATGGATAGACTGGGAGTGGCATATCTTGAAGATAACGTAAAAGAGAAAATACTTGGGTGGTTTGACATGTATAAGATACATCAATATGGGGAATATATAGACTTAATGTGGAAGAATTAGTAAATAGAAGGGGTGGATTAAAAGTAAAATTTAAAAAAGGGAGAAAAAGATCAATACAAAATAGAGCTAATATCTTATTGTATACTCATCAGGAACACATAAAAAATGTGAATTTATATTGTTGATCCCAATTAATTGATAATTGTCAGCAGGTTGATCTTGAAGATAACGTAATAGAGAAAAAACTTTTGGTGGTTTGGCATGTATCATGTATAAGAGACATCAACATGGGGAATAGATAGAGTTAATGTGGAAGGATTAATAATTAAAAGGGGTGGATTAAAAGTAAAATTTAAAAGGGAGAAAAAATCAATGTAAAATAGAGCTAATATTTTATTAAATACTCATCAGAAACAAATGAAAAATTAGAATTTATATTGTTGATCCTAAGTAATTGTGATAGATGTCAGCATGTTACAATATTTTACACTGATGTCTAAGTTCTTGAGCTTCTATAATTTATCTAACATTATTATGATAGGAAAAGAACTTGCATATGTCTATCATTGCGGTATGATTTAGTAATAAATTCTTATAGCTGATTTTCGTTGATGAATTCTTAATATGACTTGTGAATCTAGGATTTTTAGATTTTTTTTTTTTTTTTTTTTAAACTAGATTAGCTTTCTGAGCACTGGGGTGTGATTTTGTTGGGTTTTAATGTAATCTATGTTCTGTAGCATAGTTTTTATGTACTTTAAAATTAGCTAAAGATTTCTAGTCTTGCAATTTCTCCTATATACAGAAAACAAGCAATTGAATCCATGTAAAAAAGGGCAAGCAATTTGAAGAGTTGGGAGAGATATAAAGTTAATGAATGCATTGATTTTTTCTAGAACCAGAACGTCCGCCTAAAATACTTGGAAGTCTTTTCTTTTTGTAAAATATCCTGAAAGTACCTAAGTTTTCTTTTTCTTGCACAAACTTTCAATAATCTCACACTTTCTTGAATCATGCATTTATATGATACTCATAGGACTCATTGATTCCTACATGTTTTCTGTTTCAAGATTGATTTTTACATTATTCCTTAACTCCTTTTTACTGCTATAGCCGAGAGATGTTCAACAAAAGGCAAGCCCAACAATGGTGGGGTGAGAACTATGACAAGGTCATGGAGCTCTATAATGTGCAGGGGTTTAACCGCCAGGTTGTTGCTCTTCCAACTCCTCCCCACTCAGAAGATAAGGTATGCTTCAGTCAAAGCTAATCTCAGGTCCTTGGTTGTTTAATGGCTTAATTTATCTTTTTTCCATTTGAGTGCCAAGATGGATTCTATAGAAGACAATCTAGTGACACCTCCGCTGAGCAAGGAGCGTTTTCCACATAATTTCCACCAGCCAATGAGCCATAGCATTGCTGCTTGCATGCTCTATTCTTCTTCAGACTCACTGGAGCACCATTCAGCCAGCTGCCATCACCACTCCCAACATCTTCTTCACCATCATTGTGAGCGACATTGCTATGGTTCAGGTGTCTTAGCTTCTACGCCGAAGCTATCTAGTATGAGCGGAGCTAAGACAGAGACCTCATCAATGGATGCATCAGTGAGAACTTGTTCATCTCCAGATGATGCAGATCGTTCTGGGGAGTTGTCATCCTCAGTGAGCAATGCAAGCGATCTGGAAAGGGAATGGATTGAAGAGGACGTGCCTGGTGTTTACATCACAATTCGTGCTTTTCCAAATGGCATCAGGGAACTTCGTCGTGTTCGTTTCAGGTCAGTTCCATTCCTTTGCATATCCAACTTGAGAAATAGTTTAAATTTTTTGAGAATGCTGAAAATGGTAATTAACCAAAAAGTCGTGCACATAGGTCTAGTTAGATCATTCAAATATGATTCTTCCTTTGCTTTTGAAGTTGCATGCATAATGGCAAATTGCCAATTGCTTTGTGAATTCACTGATGGACATGCTTTGATGTGCAAACCTGCTATCGTGCACATAGGTCTAGTTAAATCATTCAAATATGATTCTTCCCTTGCTTTTGTAGTTGCATGCGTAATGGCAAATTGCCAATTACTTTGTGAATGCACTCATGGAAATCCTTTGACGTGCAAACCTGCTATCATACCTTTCTTACATCGTGTCAGTTTGCCCCTTTATAATTGTTTAAATACTCAAGTTTCTTATTCTTAGGATTATACCAATCCTCAAGGGTGATATTTTAATTTTCTAACTAAAGCCCAAACCTCACACTACTGTAACTGAACTGGACCATGTGAGACTCCTAGAATGGAAATTGTTTTAGAGTTATTGGTGTTGGATTTGTGAACTTAGGATTTTCTACCGAGGGTTTTTACTGATTTCTCCTTGAATAGTTGTGATATAGTGGCGGCTGCGTTAATGTGGGATTGAATGAAAGATCAGGCTCATCTTCCCTAGAGGAAGAATTTGATAGGAACTTATGCAGAAATTAGCGATATGGTGAGAGAGGGATTCTCCTTCCTTAGCTCTGTTTGGCTTTGTTTTTTTTCCCATAAAATTTTTTTTATAATTGGTTAGATATCTTCCATTATGCTGTTAATTTTCTTAGAAATAACTTGATCTTTCATGCTATTGTTTTCAATTATTTATTGCTCCTTATATTTTGATTGCAGATGCATTTTGCCTTCTAGCCCCATCTAGGGCTCTCAAAAAAGCTCATCGTTCGCGAACTACTTGTGTTCGACTCGCTGAGTAGCTCATATTCGATTCATTCGTTAAACAAATGAGCCGAACACAGACAAAATTTTTTAGCTCGATTTATAAACGAGTCAAACACGAATAAATTTTTGTTTGATTGTGTTCGGCTCTAATTATTTAAATAATAAATAAATAATACTTAAAAGTTAAATTAATGGTATCTTTGATATGATATAAAAAATTTAATTTATATAAATGCAAAAAGCAAAATTTAGTTGCCAGATATGTAACTACATGACAATTGGGTGGTATGTCATGTAAATGCTGCTAAAATTTTTACAAATTATGCATTGTTGCTATTGAAAGGGGTAAAAATAAAAGATACAATGATTCTAAAATAGTAAAGAAATAATACCCAAATATCTCCCTATTAACTCCTCAACAATAAATGGAATGACATAAAATAGGAAATACACCAAATAGTAAATAACCGGAAAAGAAATATAATAATTTCTAACACTTCCTCTCATATTGAAGCATAGATGTCAATCTTGTTGAACTTGGATTTGAGATAGTCAAACAACGATCGAGGAAGATTTTTTGGGAGAATATTTGTGAGTTAGCCTGTGGATGGGACAAAGGGAATACAAATTTCATTGGAATCAAGCTTCTCCTTGAAAAAATGACGACCAATCTCCACATGTTTGGTACGATTATGTTGGACTGGATTATAAGCAATGTTGATGGCGGTATTATTGTCATGAAACAACTGCAATGGAATGGAGGGTGACGTACATAACTCACAGAGCATGATGCACAACCAGATGACTTCACATATCCTGAGGGAGATCGAATGAAGCTCGGCTTCAGCACTGCTACGGGCAACAACAAAATGTTTTTTACTTTTCCACATGATAAAGTTTCCCCACACGAAGGAGTTATAACCCGAGGTCGATCATGGATCATGTACGGACCCGACCTCATCGGCGTTTGTATAAGTTACAACAGAGCGAGAGGTGTGACGAAAGAAACAACCTGAGCCCGATGTACCTTTTAAGTAGTGGAGGATTCGATGGAAAAGCAGTGAGATGATGCTCGTAGGGCTCATGCATGAACTGATTGACAATACCAACAACATGACAAATGTCCTGGCGCATATGGGATAGATAAATGAGTTTCCCCACTATGCATTGGTAGTGTGTCTTGTTCACCTGAACGACATTGGGAAGATCTGCCAATTTTCATTGGGATCCATCGAAACAACTATCGGTTTGCACAGAAGTAGCTTTATCTCAGTTAATAAATCTATCAAATATTTGCGCTAGGAAAGGCTAATGCCCCGAGTGGATCGAGCTACTTTCATACATTGGAAATGTTGGAGAGAATCCAAGCCCTTCATCTCAAAAGATGATGCCATGATGGCTTTGAGAGATTCCAAGACCGACATATCATTGCTTGTGAGTACGATGTCATCGACATAGACAATGGGGATGACAATACGGTCATCGGCTGAGTGGCGGAAGAACATTGTGTAATCAGATTAAGTTTGCGAGAAACCATGGCCCATAACAACTTGTGTAAACTTGTCCATCCAAGCTCGAAGGAATTGTTACAATCCATAAGTCGACATCCGCAGTTAGCACACTTGTTCACGGGAAGAGGTTGAGTCAAAACCCGATGGGAGAGACATATACATCTCTTCTGTGAGATCGACGGTAAGGAAAAGATTCTTGACGTTCAACCAGAGTAAGGGCCAATCCACATTAACGACAAGAGATAACAAAACCCGAATAGTATTTAGTTTAGCTATCGAATCAAATGTCTCTTCATAATCAACTCCATGGGCTTGTTAATAGCCTTTGACTACCAACCGTGCCTTGTTGTGTTCAAAGGATCCAGCAGAGTTAAGTTTGGTGCTGAAAATCCACCTGCTACCCACATCTTTCTTTCCTTGAGGAAGCTCGACAACATCCCATTTATGGTTGCGCTGAAGGACAGTCTTCTCGTCCATGACTGCAGACTTCCAAGTTGGTTCGACCTATATTGCCTTAATAGTGGAAAGTAGACAACTATCCGTCAAGGAAGTGGCAAGATTTTGTAGGTTGAAGATAAGCTGTGGAATGAGACGTATTGTGTCATGGAATAAAGAGTTCATGCCTGTTAGTTAAGAGAGGCATCGTTCCAGGGATATTGGCCGGAATGGATTCCTAGACCTCTAGAGGGGGAGCGGGCTCAAGTGTAGGGGCATTGGGATGAGTCTCGGCCGTGGGTTTCGTACGTTAAGTTTAGACACATAGAGGGGATGGAGGTGATGTTGGTCTGATTGGTGATGGATCCAGTGGGACTCAGAGTTCCTCAGACATAGTGGCTGTAGGAGTAGGTAGAATATCCAACGGAGTCAGAAAAGGAACAGTGTCCAAAAAATCTAACTCCCTTCACTTGAGACAATGTTAGGGTAAGTAAGGATTATTTTCAAAAAAAGGAGATATAATCACTCACATAAATTTTACTTGAGGTAGGATCATAACACCTATAACATTTTTGAGTGGTTGAATAGCTAAGGAACACACTTAATCGAGCGGGGATCAAGTTTCCTTTGAGTCGGGGTAGTGTTCTGAACAAAGGCCGTGCACCCCAATATTTTGACAAATAATGCGGAGAAGAACCGATTGGTAGGAAAACACGTCATCAAGACAGATATCGAGGTCCGAAAGTTGTGGATTTTTGTGGGAACTATGTTAATGAGATAGGTTGGTATGGACGACATCAATCATTTATAAGGACAATAGTTTGAAATATAATGGAACGAGTCATTTCGAGAAGGTGTTAGTTTTTTTCGTTTGATTACCCCATATTGTTGAGGGTATTCATACTGGAGTTGTGATGGTGGATGCCCTTACTCATCAATAATTCTCCAAAATTAGACTTAAAGTATTTGTGGCTATTGTTGGTCCAAAGGACTTGAATGGAGATTTTGAATTGCGTCAAAATGAAGGAATGAACAATTTTGTAGGTGATAACAACTTCAGATTTGTCCATCAATTAAGTAAAGAATCATGAGTTATTGGTGTAGCTTGCTATCTGAGAGAGTCCCCCCATAAATCACTATGAATCAGTGAAAATCGAGAGGAAGGAGTGTGATGGTGGGGTGGACATGATACACGATGATGTTTAGCTAAATGACAAATTTCACATTTAAAGTTAGATGAATTATTATTCGTAAACATCAGAGGGTATAATTGTTTTAAATAATGAAAACTGGGATGATTTAAGCGATAATCGAAAAACATAATTGGACAAGCAGTAGAAAGGGAAAAACTACAACTACGACGTTGAGTGCCTGCATCATCAATGCCATTATCTTGGAATAAGTAAAGCTCAATTACCCGTATTTGCAATCATCCTCCCCAAACGAAGATCCTGAAAGACATAAACATTAGGAGAGAAATGAACAAAGCAATCAAGGTCATATGTCAATTTACTGACCAACAAGTGGTTACTTAAGCAAAGGTATGTGTAACACAGATCCTAGAGTCAGTCCGATTGTTAGTTTAACCGATCCTTTACCTGTAATAGAATTACAGGAGCAGTCGATAATTTTAATAGTATATTCTAAAGCACGGAGAATATGTCGAGAAGAATTAAGAGCACATGGTCATGTGGTTCGTGACACCTGAATCGATAATCCACAGACTAGAAGAAGCAAAACCTGTGAGTGCCATAGAAATGTTATCTTGTGAATATGAGAGGTTGACGGGCCGGAGATCTGACTAGATCTAATTAGCTTAATTAAGTGTTCCATATGACCCTTGATGGAGTCTGGAGATTCGGTGATTGTCCAAGTTGAATTCTGTGGTCATAGTGAGACCTTTACAACGAAAGATTTGGTTGAAGATTATTGTTAGTTTCCCGTTGAGCTTCCAACACTTGTCATGGGTATGATATGATTTGTGGCAAAAATCACATGCGGAGTGATTGACATGCGACGATGTAGCAGAGTGTAGAGCAATGTTGGAGTCTTGAAGACCAAGGCTGAAGACTCAGCTGAATTAGTGGAGTTGTAGATCAAGACAAGTCTTTGGCTTCTTCGCGGCGG